ATTTCTCTAATATTTTGAATGAATAACGCAGCAGCGGCACGTCTCGTGGGCTAGACTAACAAAACATTAAGATGCAACAACGTCACTTACATCATCACCACATCTCGTGTGCCACTGATGACGCTCCGTGATACACACCTAACGTTCCATTGTACCATTTTTGCATTCAAATCAAATATTTATTTTAAATTAGACTAATATTCTTTTTTTTTTATTCACAATCTCGTCATCACAGGCAGGCATTTCAGCATGTGTTCGTGTTTGTGTGTGCTGTCTGTGTCACTCATAACACGTGCCTATATCGTGCACTATATCAGACATTTTTTCTATCGTTATCGATGAAGGTGTACCGTCGATAAATATCAATACCGTTTTATCGCCCAGGCCTAGTGTATTGTCAGTATGTGGTATTTTTGGCTCAGATGTTCATTTGACTTCTTATATGATCCCTTTTAAATCCTAGGCGGGGAAATGAATGTGTTTGTTTTTGTATTCCAAATTGAAAAGCTCAAATAAAATGAAATCAAACGTTCATCACTCATTGATAGGGTGGTGAGTTCAAGAAGTATGTCCACTTAGCTCTTAAACTGACCAACTTTTTTGCTGCTCAAGCTGAAATCTAGGTCAGAAGCTGGTGGTTTGTAAGATGATGATTTGAAGCAGCCTATCTAACTTGTTTTTCTTGGGTGCCAAACTGGCCTGTGTCCACTGATCCAAAACACATTTCCATTTTGCCAGGCATAGGATTGGATGGGATTCGATGACATGTTGTCAGTTGTCACGTCAGCTCTCTCGGGGTCAAAAGCTTTCTGTTAGGAATATGAATGGAATAAGACTACTGACTACGCATGATGAGTTTTCAGACTTTTTTGTTGTTAATATTTCCTTCAAGAAGCTGGAATGATTTTTTTTTCCACCCCAGTGAGCTCATTTTAACCTCCACATCGCCCCCAAATCCTCCTCCTCTTATTATGGAGGACCGAACTCTCCTCTGATCAGGAAAACATAGCCAGGTCTCCAAAGCCCATTTCAAAAACATGAAGCATCTGTGCTTGTCTGGAACTCCCAATGGATTTCTCTCAGGTCTAGAGATAAAGAGAAACCTACTTAGCTGTTTTCTGAAGGAGAAGACGATTCATTTCAGAGATGAAAGGCTGAAGTCTCTTGTCATTGATGGTGGAACATGGAGGAACATGGGGGTTCAAATGAGGAAAGGATGGAGAAATGGGGATGGAATAGATGTGACCTTGAAGTGAATCCATTTAATCACCATGTCTAAGGTGATTTCAGTGGAAAGTAAAACTAAAATTGTATTTTGCCCATTGTTTTAAGAATACTGCCTAAAGTTCAACTATTTTCCCCACTGTCTGATATATTTACATGCTTAGAGTACTGAGCTGTTAGATTAGCAACATGCTAGCACCAAACTCAATTGGAATTATTTGTTCTTTGAGTTTCACATGAGGAGCTCTGTCTACAGTATGTAAACTGTTACTTATAAGGGTTCCATTTTAGTCAGGATGCTGTCTATCTAGACAGTAGACAGCAGTGCAGCTCACTAGGTTTTGTCACTGAGCTAATGTGTTTCAAAGTGTTGTAAACACGCTATCTGAATGATTCAATATGTCTGTTTGTGGTGCCACTGATTGAATTCAAACCTCTAGAGACATCAATTTGCTGTGTGCACTTCTCTTACACTCCCCCTCCCATTAGCGTTATACATTAACGTGGTCTAGGCCCATCCACATTGCCTAGACGACTGGCTCCTTTTGCCTATTATATTAGGGCTAATGAATGACACCTGTATCCTGCTGCAGAACATAATGCACTATTGTAGTGTATTATGCCAGATGTACTCACGCACTTCATTACAGTTCAGCAGTGGATTTGATTTAACTCAAGAGATCAAAGAACAATAGAAGCAATTTTCTAAAGGGTTTGTTTGTATATCTGGCACAATATCCTTAGTGACAAAGTGCTCCATATCTCAAACTCACAGCCATGCACAGACCAACAACCCCCACATACATGAGGCCAACTGGACATGTGCTAGTCTAATAATTCTTCCTTGCTCTGTCCTGTTCTGTCTTTGGCCTCCATCTCAGGTGATCGTATGAGGCAGATCTGTATTTACACCTGGTAGTAATGTGTCTCAAATGAGTCTCCCGTGACTGCTTGTGATGGGATTTGGAGGGGAGGGTCTTCAGGGAAGATTGCCAATGGATGCTGATAACGGGCATACATAAAGATTTATGTATATGTATGTGCTTTTATTAATTTGTTTGTGTTTGTTTGAATTATTATTTAATAAGATGGCTATCGTTAAAGCCACACTAATAATAATAATAATAATAATAATAATAATAATAATAATAATAATAATAATATAAAGTTAAAATGTTATACATTTATTTATTTTTGTTATAGAACATTTTATTTTTCCAGGATGCATTAAATAGATAAAAAGTGACAGTAAAAATGTAAAAATCACTGCAATAATTATATTCTATTAGTTGTAAATAAATGCTGTTCTTTTGAACTCTCCATTCATCAAAGAATCCTTTAAAAAATTGTATCACGGTTTCCACAAAAATATTAAGCAGCACAACTGTTTTTAATATTGATAATAATAATAATAAATGTTTCTTGAGCACCAAATCAGCATATTAGAATGATTTCTGTAGGATCATGTGATACTGAAGAGTAGGGCTGTGCGATATTGAAGAAAAATGCGATATTCGATATGCGATACAATATTGCTTAAAGTGTATAAAATCAATTTAAATGATATTTTAAAATATTTAAAAATGAAAATCATATAACCAATTTGTTTCACATTCTTTCTTGGAAAAGAAAGAATCACTATAACTTCTGAAAGTGACCAGCAGTTTTAGCATTATTTAAAAAGTAATGTCACAAATCATAAATGTAATTTAACATCAATGTGAACATACAAACAACAAAATTAATGACACAAATTTTATATCATTGTGACTTTGCTTTCCACACACTTTAAGTACTTATTAATATACCACAGCAGAAACTATAGTCTGAGAAAGTTCAAACATGATTAAAGGCAAGTGAACAGTCAGTAAAAAAAAAAGAAAGAAAAAGAAATACACAATTTACAAGCATAGATAAAATAAACCGTAGTATTCAGGTACAGAAATTTAATAATTAAGTGTAAAATAGCACTGCATTGTTTACTGTATGAATTACATTTAAGATTAATTTTTGTTATAGCTGTTTTGTTGTTTGATTAACATTAGGGACAGATTCAGCAGCACGTATTTGTAGGCTGCTGTCCCTTTAAATCAGACTGTACGGATCCAGTATAATGATACACATCCGATTTCTTTCTCAGCTGTTTACCTTCATTTAAAACATAACGACTGCGTTTACGAGAATGACCGTCGAGACGGGTACTATTGACATAATTCTGTGTGTATGTGTCTGTTCAAACATAAGGAGGAGATGTGAAAGACGAATCAACTCGGTCTGAAACGTGTCTCTCTCTCTCTCTGTGTGTGTGTGTGTGTGTGTGTGTGCGTGCGTGCGCGCGCGCTGCAGAACTGAAGAGACGCTGCGCGAGATGCGGCTTGTGCGCGTGCTTCAGGTGTGAGTCAGACAGCAAGACGAGACGGCAAAGAGTTGTTTTCTGCAACTTACTGCACTTAATAACTCTTTAACGTCAAGCAATTCTCTGCTATATGCGTCGAACTAAAACTTTGACCTTTTGCAACGTTTTGAAATTATTAGCCTATTAAAATGATAATATCGCACGCCATTGCGATATTTACATTTGCGATATTTCTATAATTTCGATATATCGTGCAGCCCTACTGAAGAGTGGAGTAATGACTACTGAAATTTCAGCTTTGCCATCAAAGGAATAAATTACATTTGAAAATAGACTAAAATACCAACCCCAAACTTTTGAACAGTAGTGTGTGTAGGCATTTATATGTGAAAAATAAATATACTGTAACTGCCTATATATTTTAGGAATCCTTCATAAGGTGTGCATCATATGTGACGGTCTGTGGCATCCAAAAGTAGTGAGAGCATTTGCGTGTTATTCTTTATCATTTAATTTCTCATCTCCTACTATGTTGCTTTTCCTTCTCTCGTCATCTTCTTTCCCCATGCCTGGTTTCCATGGAAACGCCACATATGGTTCCAACAGATGTTTTCCCATTTTCCTGTGACGTGTTGAATTTCGCCCACTCTTGCACCCAACATCAAGTCATAGGAAATATAGGAGATTATCAACCACACAGAAGAAAGCACATATTAGCCTTATCATATGAGTGCCAACAGAGCACATTCCAATAAACCGGAGAGTCCAAATATTTGGATACCTCCACAGAGGTCCAGTTTCATTCCAGAATTGCTGATGTGAATATTAGACTGTCTGTATCTGCTCCATTTGAGTCCTGTAAATGGCCAGTTACGAACACGTTACTTACTTACGTTACTTATGTGCGTTAATGGTTTATTTGACCCAAATGAGCCAAAATTGGTTCCACCAGTAATGCTCCACATTGACTTCAGCAGATTCAATAACACAGCATGATTCTGCCCACTGTGCAAAGACACCTTATGGGCTAAGTGTGTCTGCTGACCTCTGTTTAGTTGCGGTCAGTAAAGAGGCCTAACACACAGGCGGGTGGTCTCTGGTGTTTCCTCTTAATGCCTGCAGCCGGACCATCTAACAGATGTGCTCGTCAGGCTCAGTAGCTCCATGTTAACATGCACAGGTTGTTTTCTCTCTTTGCAGTCATCAGAAAATCTGTCCTCTAATGACCACACAGAGTTAAACCCATTTTCTCCAGGGTTAAGTGGACCGTTTTTGTGCTCCTGCAAACATTAAGCACGATTATTGCTAAATGTATCATTCCGGCTAATTGCTGAACAGCTTTGTAAAGGGACGGCTCACCCAAAAATGAAAAAAATTCTGTGATCATCACCTTTTGAAACTTTTTTTTTTTTTTTTTCAGAGCACCAAAGGAGTTATTTGGAGCTGATTTTCCAATACAGTGAGCGGTGACCATGGTTATCTAAGCCAGATTTTCAGTGAATGATGACGTAAATTTTGGTCTGTTCCTCACATGAAGCTACTGTATGACTTCAGAAGACTGATAATATAGTGGACATGTTGTATGGACCACTGTTAAGATGTTTTTATGGGGCTTTCAAGTCATGCATTTTAAGTCATTTCAGATCATGTATACCGACCTGAGAATAATTTTCCCTGATAATATTTCAGCAGTCATGTCATGTGTGTCTATTAGCTGTTTAAAATCAGAACTATTGATGGCAGATTTGCGGATGATTTGCTATTGACCTAATCAGTTAAATGGATTTGGCAAAAGGTCTGAAAGTGTTTGTGATTCAGTTTGATTCATTCAGACAGGTCACTCATGCACTGAATCATTTGCAGCGGTTTCTCACAACGGAATAGTAACAGGATTTTATAAGACGGGAAACAAAAAGAGTGCTGAATGAGGTAGATATTTACCTACAACCCATTGCAGGAATCAAAACTTGGAATATCTTCTGTCGTTTGTCAAGGATAAAGTAGTTCTTTATTGCATATACTGTACAGCTTGGGAATGACTCTGTCTGTACTGCAGGAGAAGACAATTTATATGCATTACAGTATCAAAAAAAGTATCAAAATGTGCCCCGGGACAGAACTTGAACTATCCCTTTTAATATCGGAACACAATCTTATTTCCATAAAGCAGGTGTAATGTTCCCCAATCTGTGGTGAGATAATGATAATAAAGATTAGATAGTCAGAATCAAAACGCCTGCACGCTAATCCTTTCATTATAACAAACAAAGTGTAGACATGATGTAAATAAGAGATTTATTTTGCAGTGTAGAGAGATTCATTGATTATAATGGAAGATTTCGATGAACTGAAATGAGTGACACCTTTTCGGTGATTATTAAGGGAGTGCTCTTTGAGTGCTTTCTTGGGTGTATATAATCGATTCTGAATTTGAATAAAAGTTTTGTTTGTCATGCTGCTAAGAGGACCAATGTGGCATACATGCTTCAAAGTTTCTGGAGTGACATTCTCCTATAAATGGGTGATTCTCTCTCGAAATCGCAATGACTGACAGTGATAATCATAACAATGGACTGGCAAAATATGATGTCAAAATAGATGTGCATGAAAGCTAAAGCACCCTCAGTGATTGATTCTGGAACAGAGAGCATCCTTCCGGAGCTCCTCTGTCTGCGGACTTGAGACCGTTGTGTGGCGCCGGTTGTCGCTAACATTAAAGTGTGACAAACATGCAAAAAAATAAGAAATCAGGAAGGGGGCCAACACTTTTTCACACCACTGTATATATATATAAAGTTTGTTAACCACTGCCCTAGAGGAAGGGAAACATGCTGAAGATTTTTCCCTGGGTATGTGAAAGACTTTTCTGGTACTCATTAGAGCAGTGGTTCTCAAACCTGTCCTGGAGTACCCACAGCCCTGCACATTTTGTATGTCTCCCTCATCTATCACACCTGATTCAACTCATCAGCTCATTAGTGGAGACTTCAAGACCTGAAGTGGGTGTGTCAGATATAGGGAGACATACAAAATGTGCAGTGCTGGGGGTACTTCATGGAGAGGTTTGAGAACCACTGCATTAGAGCAAAGAGACTTGGGAAATTAATTAAGCTGCCTGACTGCTAATGACTGCAGATTGGACAAGCTGATTAATAATAGGTCTGAGTGTCGGATTCTATGTGAACAGCATTGATTGAAGTTGATTGGACTGATGTTTCTGTATTAGAAGCAAATCAATTCTTACAAGGAAAAAAAAATGATTCCATTTAAGTAGCTGTTTCAGATGTAGTTGTATTCATTCATTTGTAGTTGCACATTTGTATATTTGTTTTCTCATAATCTAATTTTGTTCTCCAGGGCAATGTTTTAGTTTGCTACAGTGACATGAGGATAGCTGATGTTTTGTTGTTTTTTATTGGATTCTTGTTGAGCAAGGGATAATGGAGGTTGCATAGATGTTTACAGCATTCAGCTGTTTAACCAATGAGCCTGCCACGCATATCGCTGAGTCAGATCGCCAAAACAACACCTCATAAATATGGATGAGTGTGGACTGTATTATTAGCATGAACTGCTCTACCTCACCACAGCTACTCAGACTGGGCATGTTCTCATGTGTAAATAGGTATACAGCCTGAATAAACAGGCCAACTGCTTAACCTCTCGTTCCAGCTGTGTTGAGTGGCCATCCACAAGCACATCTGTTTGAGGTGGTAACCACTCCTGTGAGGGTCATAATATTAAAGCTTGGGTCGTGCTGTATAGCCAGCTTGATCATATGCTAATTACCTCTGTAATTAACCTTCACTCTTGCCTGGTAAGTAGTGATTTGAGCACATATGTGTGTCATGTGCAGAAAACACTCAGGTACATACTAGATTTATTACCTAGTTTAAGACCTATTGATCTGTTGGAGCTCATCTTTCCAAAGAGCTGGTAAGACTTGAGTCTGGCAGGCATGTGCGATTCGCATTGATTGCATGTTTTGCAATGGCGTAGATTCATGCGATTTAAGATGCACGGCCACCATTGTGTTGTGACGATCAGCAAAATATAGTCCTTAGCTGCATTAAGCTAATCTGGCACATTGCATAGCAGCCCTTTTATTACTGAATAGTCCTTGATTGCTTTGGCGTACATCAGATAGTGTCCTTTACAAGCTTACACCCTGCCTCATTTGCTCTCTGGGATCTTCATTCATTTTTATTTTCCTGGGTTGACAGCTCTGTATAATCCAAACCAGTGTTCAATTTCCTGATGGAGATTGCTGAGTGATCTCAGAGATTCACCCATTCAGCCTCCAAGCCATCCATCACACTGACACACATGCCACAGCCAATGTACTTGTACCACAGCCACAGCTGTCAAGGAAATTGAGAATTGAAGGGACAAGTCACCCAGAAACAAAACGATTCTGGCTCATACTTTTACAGTGTCCTTGTAAAACGTTACATGTACTTACTATAGTAATAACAGTACATTTTGCATAATGACTAACCCTAAACCAAACCTTAACCCTATAGATTAAGTACATGTTGTTAGTTCATATTACACAATACTTGTATTACAATTTAATTACAATGTAACAAGGATACCTTAAAAAAAGGGTAACCAAATTCTGTCATACTCACGCTCATGTTGTTCCAAACCAGCTTAACATTTTTTTTCCACAAAACATTTTTTTTTGTAATGTCCAGAGTGCTGTTTTACGTACACTAACCTCCAAAAAAGCAGCATAAATGGGCAGACGTTAATTTCCGCCTCAGAGTAAAGAGGAATGATATCATTGGAATCACTCTCAGAACATTTTTTTTTTCCAGCTAATGAATGATGAGAACATTGACACTCAGAATCCACCTGGCTTTAAAAAGCTCAAGCCTGACGTAACTTCAAGCACTGATATTAAACAATGTTATTGTCTGTTGGTGTGGACGCTAATCCAAAGTTCTGTCATGGAACTCTAGATGGCGCAGGCCGATAGGTTCTAATTCAGTCTGACATAATCACATCATTATTCACATGGCACAGCTGATCGGTTTCTTTCGCATCAGCAGCCAATGAGCTTGCTGCTCAACATTCAAATACTTGGCTAGTGCTTGCTGTAGCATCAAGGAACTTTGCTGCCGTACCATGGGTGCAGCAGGCGCAATATTACGCAGCGCCTGAAAATAGTCCCCAGCATGTTCCCTGTGCAAGCAGGTGGTCACGTTGGTTATGTTGGCGGAAGTTAGCCTATTTTCAGGCGCTGCGTAATATCATTGCGCCTGCTGCACCCATGATACGGCAGCAAAGTTCCTTGATTATTACGCCGGAATGAGAGTATAGTTCCTAGCCATATCGGCCTAGGCTAGAAAATCGCAACTTTTCATTTTCCGTCGGTCTTAGTACACGATGTAACTACAGAAGAGTCAAGTTTTAAATAGGAAAAATATCGAAACTCTTTGGTCATTTTTGAGCGAGATGCTAACGGTCTAATCAGATTCAATGATCTATGCTAAGCTGCAGCTAAAAGTGCTACCGCCAGACCCGGAGTTCGGCTGAATGGATTCGAAAACGGGAAAACTCAACTGTTTAACTCTAGGGGAGTTGGAAAATGAGCCTATTTTCAAAAAAATAGTGGAGTGTTCCTTTAAATGTAATTTTAAGCGTAACTTGGCACAACATAACTTTTAATGTAAACAACATCAAAACAACCAAATCTGTTCTGCATTTCAACAACTATTCAACATTCCACCCATCAAGGTTGCAGGGAAATATGAAGTGTTGCTCCCTTCTTGCAGTTCCCCCAGCCTTTTGAGATTGAGATAGCTTCTTCAGCACATCACTTTGTGGGGAAAAAAGCCACATTTTCCTTGAAGACAAAAGTGGGTTTCTCATTGACAGTGCTCCCCCGGATTCTTCTGAGAAATCTTGCATTCACTTCGTCGTCCTATAGTTTCTCAACCATGCCAATTTAATGATAGCTCCTGCGTTTGGTGTTGAACTTCACTATAATGAAGTCACCAACAAACAGATCTGAGATGTCGCTACTATCATCCTCAGAGCTCTCATACTCAGAAATGTCATCAAGTGGGATGGGAACATCACTCTCATCAGAGCTGCTGTACACTGTGATTTTCTTCTTGGTTTGTTTTTTTCTTGAGCTTTCCTTTATCTTTGATGTTGCTTTGCTTTTTTCCCTGCTGTTTATTTTTTCTTTCTTCATGAGCCATTTCAATTGCTTGCTTTTCAGGTGTATCAGTTAGGATTCTTGACTTCAAACGCTTTCTCTTTGTTTTTGTGCTGGGCATACTTTTGGGTAGGGGCAGAATTTCTTCTGCAGACAAGTATGAAGTGTGGCTGGGATCCAAATCTGTTTCACTTGGTGAAGCACATCCATGTGTGAGGCATGGTGAAAGCAGCTCAGCAGTGATGCTGGTTGAAGCAATTGGTGGATCATCTGCAGCAGCAGACTGTAGCTCAGGGGCTGGCCTGTCTGTTACCATGG